ACTTCTAGCCTTACCTCACGATTACTGTATAGACATGAGTCATTATTGCTCAAACGTCCGGTTAATTTACCCATGCCAACCGTTTTAAGTTCCCGCCCTCGAATTCCATGAGGGTGCGATGTGCCTACTATACGTATGCATCAGTACGTTTTCAGACAATGGAGGAGTTTGTTCCGTACCATAAGGGACTGTACCCCGGGGTTTCTGAACCCAAGACGGATCTTGTGAAGGTCATAGTGTTTACGCGTTACTTTATGAGTAAACAGGTGTTGAAAATATCTCCAATGAACAATCTGTGTGCACCGGGATGGGTTTTTGAACTCGCTTTTGAACTCACTTTAATACATAACAATTTTACAGTGCTACAGTTTATGGAATATAGTTAGCAGAAGATATTTGTGCACTCAACTATGAAAAAAGGAACTGCATTGTTTAAAAACGTGCGCTAAAACAAGAAAATAAAATGATTGCAATTTTTTTTTTCAAGGGCAACACACGTGCGCGTGTAAGACAATTACCGCACGTATTTGAGCAAGTCTTCTTTTTTATATTTGAATGCACAGAGCTCTTCTGCTTACTATATTCTAGAAACTACAACACAGTAAAATCGGTATGTATTAATGTGACTTCAAAAGCGAGTTCAATAACCCCTACGGCAGCATTCACTTGAGTCGGTGGAGATATTTTTAACATCGGTTTTTTCGTAAAGAAACACTATGTCCTTTACGAACTCCGTCTTGCGTAAAGAAACCCCGGAATACAGACCCTTATGGTACGGAACTAACGTCTCCATTATCTGAAAACGAAATGATGCATAAACTACGTAGGCACCTCGCACCCTCGTGGAGTTCGACGGCGGAAAGGGAAAACGGTTGACGTGAGTAAAGTAACCGGACCTTCGAGCAATGATGATACATGTTTATACAGGCATCGCGGGGTGGGGCTAGAAGTACTGCGGAAATTGTAATGAGTAGAAAAATATTAATAATCTGTGGGATTGACGCTGCTGAACACTGTCTTCGGCCCGCTCGCCTGCTGCCCTTTAAAAATTGCAATCAAGTTTTTCGTGTTTTACCGTACGTTTTTAAGCAAAGCTACTCCTTTTTATATTTGAGTGGACAGACCTCTTCTGCTAACTATATTTCAGAAACTACAGCACCGTAAGATTGATATGTATTAAAGTGAGTTCAAAAAGTTTAAACAAATCAAGATAAATATATTAAAAGTGATACACTACCTGTGTCTTTTTTTTTTCTTCTTTTTTTCATCCGGACTGATTTTGAAAATAAATATATGGTAATGTGCTCGTTCCTGGCCTAGCATGCGGAAAAATTAACGTCAAGGGCCTCTGCACCAATTCAGTTTCCACGCTAAATTTGGCGGCAAAACATATTAGGACCTTAATTTTATTTATTCATCAACAACGTATTGAAGCTAAGTAAACACAACGTCATTTCAACATCTTATCACCTTGTGACGTACGATCGGCGCAACGTCAGTCAATCGTAATCGTCATGCCATCGAAAAAGCAGCACAGCTGTTGCTATCAAAATGGTATCGTGTGAAGCTCGCGCAATCTTCCCCTAGATTTGATGGGGAACCTGAATTCGTCTGTAGATTCCGTGACGTCAGGTCGCATGACGTCATTTCTTGCACTAAACAGCGGGAAAACAGAATTGGTGCATAAGCTTTCCGCCAAATTTAGCGGGAGAAACTTTTCGCTTATACTCACGCCGTCGCGAATCCGGGGGGACGGTCCCGTAACAGCTACCGGTCTACAAATATGACGGAAACAGCATCGGAGGTTAAGTTCGACTTTTCGACCTTTCAAATTTCTTCGTCAGTAAAATAAAAACAATGGGCCAGCAAAAATGTGCAGAAGACAGGTTTGTACTGTAAGTATCGATACCAGACTTTATTACGACGTATAAAGATTTCAACAAACTTCAAGGAAGCTCACACAAGTGTTTGCTCAACAGTTCGTTCACACGTGCATGTCGGAGCTTGCTAAAAGAAAAGCGAACAAAGCTTGGGGTGAAAAGAAAGGAAGAGCTGGCACACGGACCCCACCGACAGGATCAGCGATTCTTGGCGACAATAGAGCGCACAGAGTTGAACACCTTTGCAAAAATATATATATTTTATTCATCTATAGTCAAGGATATAGACACGCGAATTCAGCAACACAAAACAGTATTTCTTTGTGCGTATACACTCATTTCTGCAACAGTGCAGGCCTCACTGCAAAGACACAAAATACAAATCATAGAATGTTTTTGTGATCAAGATTAAGATCCCAAAAGGCCGTATTATAAATATAACAATTCCACATTTTGTCACAATTTTAGAGCAATTTATGACTAGGAGTAATTACATAAAATAAAGCAATACAACAGTGCACTGCGATACGTTGACTGCTTGTCAAAGCATTGCATTATGTCGTTGATACTACTGCCGCTGCATATGGCAGCGTAGCTGCCAAAATAACGCCATGTAGGTGCAAGGGGCAAAATCAACTTTTGCCCCTAGCACCTTCTAGATCACCAACCCGAAAGAAACCGGAGTTCATTCGGAAGTATGTTATGTCATAGCTGGAATAATTTTTGAGGTCAAGTTTGGCTTTGTTTTGTGTGTACAACGCTTTTCTTGTGCAGTGAAAACCTCCCCGTGAACAAAAAAGCGCAAGTTACGCAGGCAGCAGATGAAAACTATTTTACTAATGCGAGAGGAGACACTTGTAATTAAAAACCGTCATCTGGTTTGATGCATGCTCTTTGTCCAAGCCCCTCTTACTGCTCCTTCGCAAGAAGCTTTCAATCACAAAACACCCAATTCACTCCATCCTCCTCTTTATATCCACATATTTTCTGATCCGGGGATACCATCACCCCATTCTTGACAAGGCAACCACGTTTCTCACTTATCATATTCCAACGACCTTTTCTCTCCGCTCAGAGCCAAAAAACCATCAACTCTCTTGCCCCTGCCATACCACTCTTCTCTCTTTAAACTCACGCATCAGCTTCTCTCCTATGAGACATACCACCATTTTCTCCATAAGCTCACCCATCAGCCTCCCTCAGGACAAATCTAAAGATCACCAGAAGAATCATTGCTATGAAAGAAGTAACGAATTACCAGAGTTTTCCTGTTTTGTGTTCAAGCGTTGCAAATTTATATACCCGGACGCATTAGTTTTTAGCATCGCCATTTTATCAATCTGCACAGTTGGTGCATTTGTAATTACTTTTTTAAAGGTCACAGAAAACGTGTCTGTCCCGTATATGTTTCATTTAATATCGTCACATCTGGTAGACAGCTAGCTCGATTAAACGTACATCTGCGGTTCAACGCAAAAGGCTATTTCCATTTTCTTTGAACATATTATGATACAGCTGCAAAACATCGCTCGGTGGGAAGTTTCCGCACATCCGGCACGTCTGCTAGCACCGGTGACCTCACTGGCAGAACAAACTTCGTACACGTTTATTTAGATTAAATTAATTTAACATAGCACAATACGAACACACAAAAGAATTATGTAAAACAGAAATGATCATGAGCCATTCCGCTTTTTGAATGTGGATGGCCAGCTAAGCTGTTTAGCACACGACACAGACCTGCCGCGTGAAGCCGGAAGAAACTAGACACGACGGGAACGCCACCCGCGGAAAGTAGACACGCGCGACGGGACCCTCCGCACCGGGAGAGCGGAAAGAAAGGAAACTAAGCACGCAAGCGCCTGGAACGACGACAAAGAGAGGGCAGTGAAAGCGTGAACATGGGCGACGGTGGTGCGCACAGCGGCAGATGTCTGTGAAAACTTTCACATCTACCTTAGAGTCTACTGATCTTGAAAATGATGCCTTTTAGTTACTAATTGACTGAAAATGCATATCCAAGTTACGAGACGTATAAGCGTTTGCACAGAATGAAACGATTTTGCATCAAAATCGGGAGTTGAGTTTTTGTTGATGCATACGAAAAATCCACAGAACCGTAACCATAAACAACAACAATTATATCCGCGGTTCCTCCGTCTCCGAATTGCATCCACACGAAGGAGCAGACGCAGAAACGACAGTCAGGACGGACCGAAAATGCTCGCTGCCCCAATGTGCCGCGAAACTCTCACATTGCACGATCGCACTGTGGCACCCTTCTCCAAGATCGAAATCGACATTTCAGACTTCGAAAAAGAATTGTGCGCCACTGTTACGTGCAGATCGAGATATAACACCGTGATAGGCTTAGCGCAAAGCGCCACTAGCCTTACTAACAAAAGGCATGACAGAGACATAAGCATGGTCTTGCTCGAGGAGGCTTCGGCGTAGAAGCGACGAAGTCCTGGGTTTGCAAGGGGGCATTTGGAGATGCCTTCCCGCACTCCGCGCTCGCGCCTTCAGTACACCAAAGCCAAAAGAAAGGTCTTGCTGGGTGAAATGTTGAATAAGATGCTCGACAACTTAAAATTGTGTTTTGAGGTATCCCGACCATATAAAAAGTCAAGAATTGTTAAAGGCGGACAATGTGCATATTACGTTTAGTATCAAAATAATTTGTTGGCCTAGTTGGTTTTGCCTATCTTTCAAGCTTATTATATTCGTTACATTTAGTATCATTCATCTTTTTGAAGGCGCTGAATCGTATGCAGCTTTCAGAAGCCATAAGTCTAACATAACGCAGGCGTCGGAAACGGGAAACGGCAGCAGCTGCAGTGACGTCAAAATGAATCACGCTGCAGGAACATGAGCGGTGTAAAAAAAGTTTTTCTCTCTCTCAAAATGAATGCAACTCCTCCTTGGTCCTCAACTAGCCAATTGAAGTAAGTCATGCCACAAACAAATAAATTAAAAAAAAGCTGTTTTTATTCCTTTTACGCAGTTTCTCTCTTGTGATTGGTTTGAGCATCTAAGTAACTGTTTTTGTTGAAGTATAAATACTGGAGCTCTCTATCGTCACGACACATTTGAGAATAATAGTTCAAACCGAATCTCAAAATGTATTTACAGTCGCTCCTCGTTATTTTCTGTCTTCTAATTTTTAGTCACTCTCAAGGTACGGCTGAGGTAACTACACTACCAGAGGACGACCCGAAAAACTTTAAAGAGCAGAATGCGAAAAAGGTTTGTCATTCACTATTACTTTCTGACATTAAATATTCAAGATCATGTTTAATTACCAATGGTAGTAAGATTTTGTATTTATAACCTTCCTGTGCTTCGGTCCACTTGAATCACTAGCGCTCGGAAAGCATTTGTTACACCCGTGCAGATCGTGTGTTTCGCAAGAAGGGGTGCTGAGAGCTTAATCGTGTTTTATATGTGAGAAAATATATAAATTAGAATTTAATCTAAAAAAAGATAACATTTATCAAACATATCAGAAATTAGACGAAAGTAACCAGCTCGTACTGCGTTTTTGATCCGAACTTCTAGGTATTATTCCTCGCGCTGCAAGGGCCTCTCAGCTTCGTTGTCGTCACTCTTTTCCTGGCCTGAGCCCGCTGTAAGTGCCGCAACAAAGCTCACCCCTGTAGAGCCGTAGGTCCTAGGAGAGTCTCTGTAATGCGTTTTGTTGTAGAATTGCGCGTTTACGGTTCTGACAAGGCAGGGGGTTTGAAATTAGAACGAGAAGAGTCTGTTGTTAGTACGCCGGTTTGATCCGGTCAGTAGCCACTACGTCATTACAGCCGTTGATGTCCCGTGCGACCGTCTTGGCTTGACAATTAAGTACTCCAAACGGTTATTCGTAGGCCGGTACCAGTGGTCGACCATTTTTGTTGCGTCGCAAGAAAACGTGCTAGCACATCACGAGGTCTTGGCTAACGAACGACCGCGACGTTGAGGTGCAAGAACGGGCCAAAGGAGACGAAACATTCGTCGAAGGCAGTCGACGTAGCCATTAGGATTTCTTTCTTTTTTTTTTTCTCGGGGGAAGGCGAAGAAAATAATTGGGCAGGTAGAAGCAGTGGTGGACTAACTCGGCTGCAGAACCGCCACTTTTTGACTTGAGTGCCGGGCGAAGGACTGGGAGAACGATGAAAAGGTGGTCGGCCCACTGTTCTCGCGGGTCGTAGGCGGCGGGAGCTGCCTTCAACTGGCGGTGCAGCTGTTCCGCCATGCCGTTGATCAACTGATTATGGGCGGTGATGTGGATGTGTCAGAATTCCAAGGTGGTGATGAAAGTGGAAACAGGGTGGACTGAAATTGCCGTCCCCTGGTGGTGCTGACCGCAGCAGGGCAGCTGAAACTGGACAGCCACTTGTCGATGAAGGCTGCGGCGACTGTCTCTGTTGCCTTGTAAGGGACGGGAAATGCGTCAGGCAATCTCGTGAATCTCTCCACACACGTCAGATAATAGTGGGCTCGAGGTGATGATGAAAGGGGTCCCACTAGATCGATGTGAACGTGTGCGAACCTGGAGTCCGTTGGGCGAAAAGGTGAGAAAGGGTGATTTTGTGGCGTGATCTTGACGCGTTGGCATTGAATGCACGATCACGACAGCGACGGAAACCCACGTTCATTATCGACTAGAAGAAATAAGCAGTTATTGATTTGTGTGAAGCTGAGATACCAGAATTGCTCAGGTTTTGAAGATTGTCAAAAAAGGATATGAAACGCTGATGGTACGAATGGGTTTGACACACCAGGAGACGTTTCGCATGTAGTCGTTACCGGAGAAAAGTGTGAAGGAACCCCGGCGAACTTCAACGATCTGGAAGAGGCGCGCAAGCGTTGCAGCTCAGGAACGTCGGCTTTTGCGGTTGCCAGCTCTTTACGGTCTACCGGATCTGTTCGAGAAATAGCACAGACGAGGCACAGTGTAACCGCAGCGGTGTTTTCATAGCCGCTGACATGGCGGAGATTTAGGGTATACTCAGATATGAAAACCGAGGTTCCGGATCTCACGTGATGAGTGGTCGCTGCGGTACCGCTGGAATGCGAACGTCATGGGCTTATAATATCTAAGAACGTTTAAACTCTCTCCCTCGAGGAAGTGGCTAAAGACTTTGACGGCAAGCAGGGGCTCCGGAAGCATATATGATGTGTGGGGTCGACGTCTGGGGACTCATTCAGCTCGTGTCGCATCGTGTAGTTTACCTCTCTCTCTCTCGCGGCCTCATCTGTGGTGGGAGGGGAGAAGAGGGCGGGGAAGGGGGGGGGGGGGGTCGGAACAGCTTTGAGTGGGGGGCCTGCTCCCACTGGTTTAAAACCTGTGGGAGCGACTGCCCCTACTGCACCCCTCCCCCCCCCCCCCCCCCCCCCCCCCCCCCGGTTCCGGAGCCCTTGATAGCAACGTACATAGCCAAACGTTCGCGTGCCAAGGTACCGTGATTTGGTTCTGAATTCTTCACTTTGTGCGAGAAATCTGATTGACTGCCAGCCATTGACGTTCTGCACAAGAAGCGCACCGAGAGCTACCCTTGACGCGTCGCCGACGAGCTCCAGTTCTGCGTCCGTAATCGGATAAATGAGCATCGCAGCGTCAGCTGGCGACTTTTTCGCTAAAAAAGGCGGACGCTGCATTTTTGTTTTACTGACGAGGCGCAGAATATTGTTGCTTGGTGGCCAGCAGATCGGTCAATTGCTCTATCAGTTGTGCACAACTTGGTAAGAAAGAACGATGACAATTTAGAAGCGCTAATAATTTGTGCTATTTCTTTAGAGATGTTGAGTGCGGAAAGTTTCTGAAGGTTGTAACTTTTGTATCTAAGGGCTTGATGAGTTGCGGTGTTGCCAGATGTCCAAGAAATCTAATGGTCGTCATGCCGAAGGTGCCTTTGTCTGGGTTGATAAACACCCCATTGTCGTCGAACCGGGAGAAAAGAGTGCTCAGGTGTTGTTCATGTTAGGTTTCCGACGTGCAGCCGACTAAGATATCGTCAAGATAACTGAAGATGAAGTATAGACGTCGATTAACCGCCTAGGCGGCTTTTTGCAGACCGTAAAACATCCGCACAAACCCAGAGGCCAAATGGAATGTTGATGGCGGTCTTTGGAATTCCGGCAGACTCAACCGGAGTCTGGTCACATTCCTTCAACAAGTATATCATAGAGAATATCTGAAAACCATCAAGGTTCTTCATATTGTATCTTGTATGGGAGGTAGTGGGTACCGGTCAGACTGGGTGTTGGTAATGATGGAAGGGTAATCGCCACAGCGTCTACAGCCAACGTGATTTTCTTGTGGACCATATGCTCTGTGGAGCGCCAGTTGCTCAATAACGGACGAACGATACCAAGTACGAGCATACGGTCAAACGCGCGACGAGAAATTATCAGGAATTATCCAGGTGACCGACGCGGACAAGCGAAAACAGGGGTACCAGGTGTGACAATGTTGTGAGTTATGGTGTGCTTTCCGGCGACTCCCGGGTGTATGGCCTTGTGAGGAAAATTCGAAATATTTTTTTCATGAGCCGATGAGGCTGTAAACGCTCGAAGTCCTTTCGCCGTAGTCGTGGAGACCACGCCGTTCACGGAGAGGTGTTTCGTTAGGTCAATGAGGTGCCGTGCATGGATTTTGTCGGCCAGCTTGTAAAGGCTAAGAAAATCCGCTCCCTGGATATAATGTTGGATGTCGGCGACTGTGAACAGCCGCCGGGACGTGCAATACTGCCCAAGGTTGACTGTGAGTGACAGCTGGCTGTAGGTTGCGATGGCAGAATTGTTGATCGCTTAGAGCTGGAAGGTCGTGTGCTTGCGTCGTCAGTTCAAAAGAGTGGCCGGTAGAGCGGTGACCTCAGCTCCTGTTTTGACAAGAAAGCGATGGACCAACTACTTTGTCATGAACTAGAAGAGGCGGCTTTCCTGTAGATTAGTATCCCTTGCCGCCGCCAGTGCCCGGACTTCTAATTTACCGCCCAAGAGCAAGGTTGGCTGCACTTGCGGGCAGTTTCGCCGGAGGTACGGTGGTTCCAACACATGTCCGAGCCAGAGTCAATCTGACCGTTCTTCGGGGAGGCGAATATCTCTGCCGCACGTGAGTGGGAGCGCGAGAGCCGGCGAGAGCGGGACCTTTGGCGGCGACGCCGTGACAAAGGTGCAAGGGTTGGGAGCTGACCGGTCACGGCCTTAATGTTGTCTACAACGCAAGACCGTCGGGAGTCTTCCGACGTTGTGGTCGACGATCGGTTAGCGACAGCGCTAACGACAGACCCTGCAAGTTGTTCTGGGAGCCCAGCAACCCTCTGTGTCGCATGTACTAATACGACCCTCGCGGGCACCATTAAACGTTTGTCATTCGTTTGGTCCGTTGCTTGTCTCTCAACATGCGCGACGTTACATGGTGTCAAAATCGTCCTGTTGACTGCCACAGCAACAACATAACCCACAGCGCCCGCTATAGATGGATTCGAACATCCAGAGCGGATTCAAATGGCTGGAAAACTCGCAGGGAACTGGAACGATTCCGTCAACGAGTGGAGCTCTTTCTGGAAGCCACAGCAGAAGAGAAATGATTCTCGGCGAAACAGAAGGGGGCAATAATGTAACAGTGCGAGACGCCCTGGAAGAGTTTGACACTTTGAAATGCAATGACGCTGAACGCGGCGTTGACGGCGTAGAAATTCAAAATTCACTCCACGCCTCGCTGCAACAAGACTTATGAACGTTATATCTTTTGATCCAGGAGCAAAAAGAGGATGCGCCTCTTGAGAAATGACTTTCGGGACCTGCAACTAAAAGTTCAATCGTGCAAATTTGCCAGCCACGCCGACTCTATAATGCGCGTCCAGGATCGTGTACGGAACTGTGAACGAATAAATACGGGAACGCATGCTTCGAGAAGGAGGCTTAACTCTGGAGAAATAAGTGCAGTTCTGCAAAACGGCTGAACTAAAGCAAACGCTAAAAAGGCCTGGGAAGCACCAGAACACCTCGTGCAGCCAGTTTTAACACAACAGGAATATGCTAAAACCCAGTAAAAGAGCAAGTGCCATGAGCAGCACATACCAAGACACGGTCTCGCGAATGGAAAAGTCTGTTCTAGGTGCAAAAAGAAAAAAACACTAGGCCACGTTCTGGAGGTCGCAGTACCACGGAGACGCAGATATGAAGCAACCTACGGCAGCATGTGGGACCATGACGACTTTACCTTGCTGGAGGTGCAGGCCGTCACGGGA